TTCCCCCCATATATATAGTTCCTTTCCCTTTTATCCAATGGTTTTTGACCGGCGTACTTTCTAACGAATGTACTTTCATCGTCTGCTCAAACACAACGCTTGTTCTGTGACGTACGCTTTCCGACGATTTGACCCTGGCGATGGCCGAGGTGTCCTTTGCTATCTCGCCTCGTGGGCATGATTTTAGCTTGGTCGACCCTTAATTATTTCTCTTAAGGACGATCATTCTAGTTAGATTTTGACCCATACAGTTAGTCCCTCCGTCCGTCGAGGTCGCCTTTTAGCGGGCTCAACGGACGAACTCTGTCGATTTGAAAGTTAGGAGAAATAGGAATGGTACGCATTGAGCAAGATCCTTAGGTTGAGGTGGCGACGTGACGCTTCAATGGTACCATCGGACCATTACATCTATTCGGAGTTGAATCGTTGTATTGATTCGATGCATCATGAATAGCCATTATCATTATGGTGCACGTTTCTCAAGCACCGTATCATTTCTTGTGCCCTATCAGTTTTGATTGGTGGCTCTTGGGTTTCCCGCTCAAGACATTTGTGTTCCTATAAATAGGGGAAAACCACCATTCGATTGCTACACTTTTCGATTTATCTGAAGAATTTTGCAAATCTTTAACTTCTTCAATATTTCAAACTTTTGATTTCATTCTCCTGTTAGTCAGAACTTGACGCTACCATCTTCTCTTTTTCTTCATCATACTCATTTATTCTGATAAATCCAAACAAATGGCCGGTACTTCTTCCCATACTGACAGGCTCGTCGAAGCTCCGGTGCTGAAAAATGACGCATATGTTCTCGGAGAAGAGCAGAGGCAGCGGAAAATGAGGGAGTTCCAACAGTGGCTGAAATATTGCCTCGTTCGGAGAAATTATGGACCGATTTCAATAGCCCCGCTGGAGAAGAACTGGATCATGCATCCTCTACCATAGATGAAGCAGCGATTGCGGTGCTCAAGACCAAGTGGGGAATTCCAAACCATATTGAAATGGTGACGGCGACAGGGACGGACATCATACATCTGCACCGCCCAGGGTACTGTGCATTCTACGCGTACTCTTTTATTGTCAGGTATACGCTTCCTCTCCCCTCCCTAGTGATAGACTTCTGCCGCTTCTATGAAGTGTGCCCGGCTCAGCTCTCATCGTACGTGTACAAACTCTTCCCCATGTTGCTCAAGTACGCAGAGCTCGCCGGTCGAGGGGTCACTTTGGGGCATATGCTTAAAAAAATTTCCCCTCAACTTATTCGAGGCACGATGATCCACATGTGCCACCGAGGAACAAAGATTTTGGTGGTGAAGATGGACAACAAGGCTAATTACTGTTTTTGGGAAAGATATTTCTACGTACGGACCGAGCACCTTGTGGCGGACCCGACAGAGTTTCCCAAGACGTGGAACTTTTCCCCTAAGTTTTCCTTCATTTATTTTGTGACTCTTATCGAGGTGGTGGTCAACCATTCCTTTTTAGGTGGCATTGCTAATTTGTTTTTTGCTTTCGCAACTGAGAGATTGCCTCCCCCGCCAGTTGATGACATCCGCGAGTGGGTAAATGTTATTTTTCTCCATATAGTGGGGGTTCGAGAGTGGGCGTCCTTCTACGAGAGATACGGTCATAAGCCTCTCACTGGTGAGTCGGCCCGTTATAGTTTCCTTGTTTTTTGCCTTGTAATTTGATCTTGTCGCTATATGATTGTTTTTCTTTGTTGGCAGGGAGAGTGCGAAGGGCGAGGGCTCCTTCGCTTGCGTTCCATCAACCGGCGCCTTCTACCTGGCCCGCATCAAGGTTTGTTGTGCGGCCTACATCGAGAGCTACTCAATATGCACCTGTGACCGGGGCCGTGTGCATGGAAATTACTCCTCGACCTGAGACTCCAACTCCTGCCGTCCGCTCAACGGGCGAATCTTCCCGTACTGGTAGCGGAGAGGGTCCGTCGAAGAGACGACGAGTGGAGCCTGAATTGGCTCATTCAGTCGAAGCATCTTCGGGGGGCGACCCTTCCTTGGCGGTGTCTGAAATTGGCAGTGGTGCTAACCCAACCATAGAGGCAAACCCGGTAGTAGAGGCAAACCTGATGGCATAGGCTTCGGCCATTGTGAATGATTAAATGGCCATTGCAACGAACAGACGGGGTCCCGAGGCTGCTGCTGCCGTTTTGGGCGGCCCTTAGTCATCCAGACCGAATCGCGCCTCTTCTTCAGCCGTAGATAGGGGAAAGGGTGTCGTGGTCGATGACTTCGAGTCTGACTCCAACCTCGATCCTGATGATGTCAGGATGTTCGAGGAGGGCTTTACCCGTACTGTGGTAAGAGCGGGAGGTCCTTCCTATATACTTGAGATTCCATTGGATCTCAATCTTCTACAGGACACGGAGGGTTTGGTGCCACAGTTCGACCTTCTATGCTCTGCCGCAGAATGTGAGGCTCTTCAGGACGTTAGCAACGTCGAATTAATGCATGAAGTGGCCGCTATGGGCTTGAGGGTACGTTTCTCCTCTTTCTTTTTTTGTCCCCCTTTTGTTTTTGGCGGCCTTGGCCTTCACCGACTTTTTTCTTTGCTTTCAGTCTTACATGCTGGAGATCAAGAGTGCTCGCAGGGCCGAAACTCGGGCCAAGATTTTTCCAATGATGCTGGAAAGGTATCGGCGCTACCGTAACAAATGTCGCGAGATACATAAGCGGCTCAGTGCGAGCACATGCAATCACTCTCTTGGGGAGGAGCTATAGAAGAGGGATCAGGAGTTGATGCAGTCTATTCGCAAGAGTAGTGAGCTCAAGGAGCTACTTCGTGCAAAGGACGAAGAACTTGATTGGGAAAGGGGGTCGCTGCAGAGTGTGAGCATCTTCAAGCGAAGGTGCTGTCGTTGCAATCTGAACTTGATCAAAATGCCGCCAGAGTGGAAGCTTTGAGTGCTAAGTGGGTGGGAAAGTTGGTTGATCTGGAGAGGAAAGTGTCCGAGTGGGAGAATGCCGAGAATACTCGGGCATCGGCTTCGGCAAGGGCGGCAGTATTGGAGGACATTATCCGTGTCCTCCAATTCGAGCAAGAATTTGAGAGGGCAACGGCCACGCTAAGGGAGGTAAGGCTCAAAGAGCGCATTGGCAAAATTGACCGGGAAACTTTGAACTTGGGAGATCAGGTCGCTGTCCTTGAGGCTGAAAAGGCGCAATTGTTGGCCCAAGTTGAGTCTGCCTCTGCCCAAGTTGAGTCGGCATGAGCTTTGGGTTCATGCCGAGGCCCAAAGAGACATATACAAGTGTTTGTGGGAGGCGGGCAATGTTTTTGAGGTTGCTTATGAAGGAGCCCGGGCGAAGGCACGAGAGGCTCGTGTCAACTGTGGCTACGACCCTACGACACCGGAGGCCGGTGAAGATGTTGATGCTGAGGAGGAATTTCCTAAAAACCATGATTGGGAGAATGGTGGTGATGACGCCGAGTGAAAAGCTGCTATTGCTTTAGTATATTTATTATTTTTTTGTTCATTTTCGTCTTTTTTTTTTATTAGGCCTGTTTTGTCCTTGTGTAAGGTGCAGTCGTGCGCACGTGTATATAAATAAAAGAGTTGTTTCACCTTTGTTTATCCTTTGATTTTATTTCCCTTCCCCTTGCTCGTTACATCTTTTTGTTTTGGCGTAGACCTTCGGTTTTTTGTATGGCGAGCCCATAGTTTTTTCAATTTTGGGAATCCGAACTTAACCATATCGAGTAGGGTCTTGTCGAGCGAGTCTGAATGGAGTTGCTTCGGACTTACTCATTCGGGCGAGATTGGATTTTGGTTCATCGCTTTAGGCGAAATCATTTTTTATTCGACCGAGGTCGGATTCAGATTTGCCATTTCGGTTGAAGTCAGTTTCGATTTGAATATCCAAGTGGGATTGAGTCGACTTACCGATTTAGGCAAAGTCAACTTTTTTTAGTTTATATGAGTCCACCAAACTATAGAGTACTTGGTCCTATATGAGATGATGCTTAGAATGCTGTAAAGACTGAAAGTAAAGAAGGCAAAGGATTTTTACGTGGAAAAATCCCACACAAGGGGATCAAAAAACTACGACCTACTCTTGTAGGCTTTTAACTTCACTAACTTGCAATCTCCCTATTACAAGTCACTTCGAAAAAACCCTATTGCAAAGACTTCAACTAACTTGTGATGCACCCACCACAAGCCACTCTATAACTATCCTAGTTACAAAGGCTTTAAACTTAT